AAGTGGGTCTTTAGGAATAAGAGAGATGAGCACGGTGTGATTGTAAGAAACAAGACTAGATTAGTGACCCAAGGTTTCAATCAAGAAGAATGAATCGATTATGAAAAAACCTTTGCACCGGTTGCTAGATTAGAATCCATTAGAATGTTATTAGCCTTTGCATCCCACAAAGAATTCACTATTTATCAAATGGATGTTAAAAGTGTTTTTCTTAATGGATACATTGTAGAAGAGGTATATGTAGAACAACCACCCGGTTTTCAAGATCACAAGTATCCGGATTATGTCTTTAAATTGAAAAAGACTTTATATGATTTAAAGCAAGCTCCTAGAGCTTGGTATGATAGACTTAGCAAATTTTTACTCCAAAATGGATTTTTCAACGGAAAAATTGATACTACACTATTTACAAAAACCAAGGACGATGATCTAATTATTGTACAAATTTATGTTGACGATATTTTTTTTGGTTCTACTAATGTTTTCCTTTGTGAAGAGTTTTCAAAGTGCACGTATAGTGAGTCCGAAATGAGTATGATAGGAGAGCTAAACAACTTCCTTAGTCTTCAAATCAAACAAACAAAGGAATGCATCTTCATCAATCAAGCTAAGTATGTCAAAGATCTACTTAAGAAGTTTGACTTTGAAGGAATGAAACCTCTATCTACTCCAATGAGCTCATCTATTAAATTAGACAAGGATGAAAAGCCGTGAACATAACGAAATATCGAGGTATGATCGGATCCTTACTTTACTTAACCGCAAGTAGACTGGACATTATGTATAGTGTTTGTTTGTGTGCTAGATATCAATCAAATCCTAAAGAGTCACATCTAAATGCGGTAAAAAGAATTTTTAGATATCTTAGTGGAACTAAGAGTTTAGGATTATGGTATCTAAAGAGCACACACATTGACTTGTTCAGTTATACGGATGCCGATTGGGCAGACTGCACCATAGATAGGAAGAGCACAAGTGGTACATGCCATTTCTTAAGATTTGCACTAGTCTCTTGGTTTAGCAAAAAGCAAAATTCGGTTGCTCTATCAACCGCGAAAGCCGAATATATCTCGACAGCCAGCTGTTGTGCGCAAGTCCTTGGATGAAACAAACACTTCTGGACATATGATTGAGCTATGATCATATCCCTATCATGTGTGATAAAACTAGTGCGATCAACCTGTCAAAAAATCCAGTTTTGCATTCACGCACCAAACACATAGAGATTAGAGATCATTTCTTGTGTGATCATGTACAAAATTGTGATATCACATTAGAATTCATTAGCACTAATAATCAAATTGCAGATATCCTTACCAAACATCTAGCTCTTGAAAGATTTGCTTCACTTAGAAGAGGTTTAGGACTGTTAGATGCCACATAATTAAATTTGATCACTTAAGAATTAAGTGTTTGATCTATGATTTGATGATTATTATGCTTAAATAAATTGATATTACCATTTTGTTTGTGTGGTGGTGTATGAGGAAACAAATGTTATATTTGGTTATTGGTTGATTGGGCTTTTTCTTAAAAAATCAACTATTTTCTTCACGTTTTCTTTATATACCGGTCGACCGGAGACAGGGACGTTATAATCAACCGGTCGACCGGTTAAGCTTGATCCGGTCGACCGTACCAGGCGACCGGTGGTGCATGACAGGCACTTTAAAATCAACTCTAAAATTTCTTTTTTCACTCATTCCCACTCAATTTCAAACCCTAGGCAACAAAAACACCCCTAATTCACAACATTCCTTAAAATCATCCAAATTTCATCAAATTTCCTCCACAATCATATTCAAATCTCTCAAGAAACGTATTTCCTTTTCACATTCTCTTTTCTTTCCACTCTTTCACAAATTTCACTCCCAATCCCTCCAATCCGAAATCACCCACCAAGTGTTCAACAAATTGCTTCAATGGCTTCATGGGCTCAATCATCACATGGCAAAGGAAAGAATGTGAAAGCTACTTCCTCTGGTCCACGAAAGAAGGTATCAAACGATGAATTCAATTCTCATAACTTTAAACTCTTTGAGAAGAAATCTATTATAGAAGGAAAATTTGTGGATTTTGGTGAGTTTAGGGAGTTAAATATTGAGAGATTGTTTGACATTTTATGTTGGAAAGCATTTGTGGAGTTTAAGGAAGTAGTCTACCCGAGGTTAGTAAAAGCCTTTTATGCACATATGCAATACACTACTTGTGAAACCAACATCAAAATAACCTACACTCTTAAGGGACAACGTATAGAACTTGATAGAGATGTGATCTTAGAAATTTTTGGGATTCTGAATGTTGAAGATGTAACGATGTCAATGATTATTATGGAACGGGCCACAACTCAAGGGAGCGATGAAGATGATAATGAGGCTCTACCCGCAAAGTCGAAAGCCAATGAACTACCCCTTAGGAGTAGAATCATTCATCACATTATCTCAAACAATATCACTCATAAAGGAGGGCATAGGGATGAGGTTGCATTCACCGATCTCTATCTTATATTCTACTTTCTCGAAGGTATTCAGACAAATCTTTCTTATTTGATCCTTCACAAGATGGTTGATGGAAATAATTTAGCTATGGATCCTAATATTCCTTATGGGATAGTACTAACAAAGATCTTTCGACATTTCAAAGTAAATCTTGATAACGAAACCGAAATTAGTCCATCCAAATCTGATTACAATAAAACTACAATCAAACTCATAGGTTACAAGTTTGAAAATGGAAGGTGGATTCCCAAGAAAAAGACCAGAGTTGAGGATGAAGGATGTGAAGAAGATATTGGAGGTAGTTCAACTCGGATCAATGACGATGCTTTCAATAACCTTCATGGACGGATTGAGTCTCTATGTGCGAGTCATGAGGAGCTTAGAATGCAACTAAACACTGGCATTCAAAGTCTCTACTCTTTTGTCGACTCAAGCATTTCCAACCTCCGGAACGATCTTCTCCAGCAATTCCAAGCTCATCATCAAGAAAACGCCGAAACTCAAGCACAAATTCTCGAACAACTTCGTCGTCTTTTGATAGTTCTTTCATTGTTAATGATTAATGTCACTCATCTGATGTTACATTTCCTTGATGATTCATGTCACATTTTCTTTCTTCCATTGTCACTTGATGTTATGATTTGATGAATTTTTCTTTTTGTTGATGACAAAAGGGGGAGATGGAGTGATTGTTATTTGTTGTTTAGTCTATTGTCACTTAATATTCCTATTTGTTGTTTAGTCTATTGTCACTTGATGTTCCTATTTTGTTGTTTAGTCTATTGTTACTTGATGTTCTATTGACACTCTGACACTGCTTAAAAATAAGGGGGGGAAGACATAAAAATGATCATTGAGGCATTTTCTTTAATGGCTTAATAAATTAAGGGAGAGAATATTTTCAAGTGAGTATCAAGTGATTAAATAAGGGGGAGACATACACTTGTAAAGGAGAACATGGTATTGCCCCTATTATCTTAGCAATCAAGTGTTTGTCATCATCAAAAAGGGCGAGATCGTTGGCCCAATGTTGAATATTCTCATGTTTTAATGATAACAAACACAATGTATTATGTTACTAATGATTCTATTTTGAATTGTGTATTTAGCATAATTGATAATATAAATCAACTCAAGAAGCATATTGTGGAATACAATGCAAATACATTCAAGTTTGAGAAATGCAAATTGAAAAAGGAATTCAAGGCTTGAAGTGTTAAAATACCAAAGATCAAAAGCAAACAACAAAATCAAGCAAGACAAGTACTAATAGGTTTTTATATCTCCTTTTGATTTTGACTTCATACTATCATGATTAATTCTTGTTTAGGCTCATGTACACACACACATTATTCTTTTAAAATGAGACAAAACTAAATGCATAATGACATTTGGCGTAAAAGTACAATTTTGTGAAGGTTTGAGGCAAACTAAGTGTCAACCGGTCGACCTATGTCATCCTGTGACAGAGAAGGCTAAATGCACCGGTCGACCGGTGCTGCCTCAACCGGTCAACCGCTCCGGTCGACCGGTCCTGTTCAACAGATACTCGATAAGACCATTGAGCAGCAAGAATTAAAATTCGTCTCAACCGGTCAACCGCTCCGGTCGACCGGTACTGGGTAACGGGCAAAAAAATAAGACCGTTAGAAATTGAGCTTAAATAGAGAAAAATCATTTTTCCCTTCTGTGGATTTTCTTTGAGATAGAGAATTTATTCAGAATTTTCAAATCTCTTAAAATTCAAAAAGGTTTCTCTAAAGTGCTAACATAATCATCTTCTCTAAATCCTTACTTTACTCTCACACATACTTGAGCTTACCTTGGATTATCTTTTGATAGTGTAATTTCATCATCTCCTAGTCATTTTAATTGTGTAAAACCATTGTTAGGAGTGTATAATTAAGTGCTTCACTATTCATAATCATTACTTTGGTATTGGGTTTCTTGGTTGGTCGATCTCCGTAGAAAATCAACATTGTGTAAGAGGTTAGGCGAAGCCTTGGATAAAAAGATCCGCCATCTTATAAAAAAAGTGATCGTACCGGAAAATCGATCGTATAGTGGAAGAGATCGAGAGGCAGAATATCTCGGCGACAGTGGATGTAGACAAATTTATTTGTCGAACCACTCTAAATCTTTTTTGCATCTCTCTTAACCCTATCTCTCTAATTTCCGCACTTTAAATTTGATAGTTGACATTAATTTATTTAACTCTTGGTGATAAGCTTATTGAACTCGTTATATGATATTAGATTGATTCATCTTGTGCATATCAAGTGTTTGTGCTATTGAATTAACTTTACATAATTTTCTGCACACCGAATGTTTAATAAACGCACTGTGTTGAATTAATTGTCTATATTTGTTTTTAATCTTTGAATAATTGTATAAACTCTCGAAAAATATTTAAAATCCAATTCACGCTCGTCTTGGGTAGTCTTACTAGGGACAACAGCTTCTAAAGAACAACAAAGCTATTATGATTAAAAAAAGGTGTAAGTTTCACACAGCTATATTTTTTCTATTGGTAGATTGAGCTCCCAAACATATCAAGAAGTCAAAAAATACAGTTGACATGAAAAGAAAATTACTCAGAACATAAAAATCCTATGTAATAACATGTTGAGGTTCAGTATGTTTGAGCAATCCAGTGCATTAATCAATGGCAATAATGAGGAAACCAACAGATACATACATGAGAAAAACCGGGTAAAGCGCGAGAGCTTTTCTCCTTGGGTTGACTGCTGAACTCATGAAAGGATATGCTGCCCAAGAACTCCAAGCCAATGCTACACATACCACAACCAATTTCACTATCACGTTGTCCTTCAACATACAGATTAGGGCGCCAATGTCCAGAGGGAATAAGCAGTATCCCAAAAGGCTCAGACTCTGGAAGAAAATTATGTGCCCGCCCTGCAATACAAACACAGGTTGAAGTCAGCCATCTAACAATGGATTCAGGGTTTTACTTCCTTGACCCAGTTATTTAGGTAATCATCGCAGGTATTTTGTATATATCAAATCCCGACAAAAAAAACATTTATATCACCGGATCTCTCCCACTACAAGAGAAATGTTCAACTTAATTCAGAACTTCTAAAGCGCACTGAAAAGGAGACTTAAACACAAATCAGTAAATTGATTTCCAGAATATTTATACATGTTCTAATGCCAACAGGAATTAGGAAGCATGTGCGTGTGTGTTTTAAATCTCCCAGGGTATGCTTTCAGTAGCATGTAGATATATCCGTTATGAATACAAGAGAAGAGAGGAGGAGGGTGAGAGAGAGAGAGAGAGAGTTACCAGGAGCAGCACATTCAATGTTAAAATCACAGCACCGGCAGCTAGCAGAGCAAATGCAACAGCAAAAACTTCAGACTGGAAAAAGAAGTAGAAATATTTTCAGCAGTGAAATAACCAAATTAAACTAGGTATAAATGACAGTGAAATAAAAAATACTTAATGCAATGTACAAATAATTGGAAATCAAAACAAAATTGTCACATCCTCACAACACTGAATGTGTAAACTTATCCTTCAATCTCAATATCTCGAAAGAACCTTACCCTTGAATCTTAATTTCACAAGACCATAGTTATTAAGTAGAGTGGCATTGCAAAAAAACACTAGCTCTTATAAATCAACTTACTAAAGAAGGCAGATTCCTATACTCGCAACAATTCGAGGTTAAGTATTTATCTTACGTGTCGTCAGGTTCGGTGAACCTTTATGAATGCAACAAGTTTTAAGATCCATTCTAATGTTTCCTAAGACCTTCATGACAGATAAAACATGTAAACATCTTCAAGGACAACAAGACATTTGGGAAACTACCAATTTAGCAATCCAACATTTACAACAAAATATTTCCTATCCATGCCTACTTGTGCAGTTCTCAAGCGGATTAAATCATAATGTGATAAACAACCTTTGATGAGTTCCAAGTCACAAAGGGCATCATCTGAAATAAAGGGGCCTAATCTAAACAATCATAAATCCACAATAGACATTTTAGAAAAGGTGGTAGTCCGGGAATTAGCAAAAGCTAAAATTTTCTATGTACTTTAAAAAGAAAGTCATGATTATAAAGCTTCGGAAAAAAAAAAATCCCATTATCACGAGAAATCACCCCGTCTACTTGATAAGACTTCAGTGTCATTTAATTGTTTTGATCTGATAACGTCCTATTCCAATAAAATCTGTAATGCATTGAACATGCAGTTGAAACTGTGGCATGTAACTTTTCTCATGGGTAAGCGATGTAGAGATCCTTAGTATCATTGCTAGGGCACAGAAGTTCTAATCCTCTGCAAACTGTTGTTGGAGGTCCGCAGCTAATGTGGCACTCCCAATATAACTTTCATTTTCTTTCTTTACCTGCAATGCATGTGTATGCAGGGCTCATAGACGTGCCAACTTTGCAGCCAAACTGGTGTGTGACAGTATCAGAAAGGTTTAGTACAATTTCATACAAATTTCATTCTCCCTCTTAGCAGGTAGGAAGGAAGGAAGGACATAAGTATACATTTATCAGACGCATTAGTTGATCAAAACCCAAGTCTATCACCTCAAAGTCACTGTGGAAGTTGATAAAATAAGAGTGATCTATTCCAAGAAATGAATATGCGGAAAATGAGTTGAAAGCAAGAAAAAGAAGTAAGTTTGACATCCACCTATCCGCATCCATGGAAAGCACATCAGACAACTGAAACTCATAGGAACCAGGAAACATTTAGATCTCATACCATACAAGATCATAATATGTTCAACAGTCAAAAGGAATCGAATTTAACACATAAATCATGGCCTTAATGTAATTGCAGTGTGACACTGAATTGAACAATGAAATACAACCTTAGGCAACTCAAATTGTTTGCCATACATTTAAATTCTATATAGAGTTTATAAAGAAAATAGGGAAATTAAATAAGAACAAAACCCCTTCAGACCAAACAACTCAAAGACCGGAAAATAAATAGAAGTAGGTGCACACTTGCAATACTAACAAAGTGCCTAGCTAATGGCCCTGCAAAATTTATAGGTGCTAGCACACTCTGAAACACACACTCAGGAAAGAATTAGATAACTAGAAACACACTGGCTTTACAAAATTCCTTGTCAGTGTTCTTGAAAATGTCAAAAATGCTTTAGAATAAAATAACACTAACGCAATATATCTAGCAAATAAAATTTTAGCCCAATCGCCAATAAATAAGGCGCCTCAAGAAAGAGGGAAGCCAATGATACGGTATTGTAAATCTCACTGTTTTGGAAGCATGCAGCACAAAAAATGTAAACAATCAGGTCCTTATTCATTAATCCACAAATCATTTTATTGTGCAATAAAGATTGGGGCTTACATAATATTCTGTGCAAGGCCCCTTGCATTCCTACTCAATGTAAGCAATCTTCAACAAGCTCTCATTCCTCAAGGCAGCTAGATTTTAGGTTATACTTCTGTTAAGAGATTCTGTGTTGAAAAACAGTTTCATAGATTTCTTAAATTTCTCTAGGATGTAGTCTGTGGGATCAAATAATAAACTACTGAATGACCCCAAATCTTCACCATAGAACGACAAAGCAAACTACTTTCAAACCCTAATATCAATAGACAAACAAATAACCAAGATCCATCATTTCCCCATATGTATGCAGTGTTTGCAAAGCAGTTTTTGTAAGTAATATGTTCCCTCAAAGGAAAAATCGCACAAAAAGTCATATTTCACACGGTTACAGGACTTCCATGACAACTTTCAAAACTATCTTTAAGGTTTCTAAAATTTAGGTAAGGTTTAATCGATTTTAACCGATAGAATTTCTAAAGCTTTTGAATGAGGGAGATCAACTCTTGATAACAGATAGCTTCACTCATGAATTCGTTTTAACTATCTAACCGTACAAACCATAACTGCTCAAAAGAATAGCCAACTAGAATCAGATCATTGAAATATTCCTCTAAATTCTAGGCAATAATTCTCCACAAATCCTCTAATGCATCAAATTCTATCCAAACTAAGATCTCACCTTTCAAGTGCTGGATTCTGAATTAATAAGATAATAGATTCAAACTCATAAACCCTAAACTGATGATATTCGAATCCATCTGAAAAGCTTCTCAATTATAAAAAGCCGAAAAGCTTTGATCTATCACAGCCCGTAAAATTTCCCACACTTTTGCATGATGAGGATCAATTCTTTGATAACTGATGACTTTACTCATAGATAAGGTTAACTAGCCAAAATAAACTCAGCTCATTGAAATATTCCACAGAATTCTCGGCAATAATTCCTAACAAATCCTCCAACGAATCCAATTCCGGCAACACATCTCTCAAGTAAAACTAAGATCTCATAAACCCTAAACTGATTCCCAATATTCAGATCAAAAACCAAATTGATATCTCGAATTCCTAATTTTACCAGTCAATCTACACAGTATAAGGGGAGGAGGAGACGGGGATCGAAGCCCTGGGAGGGCTCGGAGGTCTGGCCGGGAGGACGGTGGCGGGGCCGGACTGGACGCTGGCGTTGATGAGGTTCTCGATCTCGTCGATGTCCGATTGGGACGACGGGTGGAGCGGGACGGTGTCGCCGTGCGACATTTTTTCTTTCTGTGTTTTTTCCGGGAAAGTGAGTGGGTAAGATCTGAACTTGAAGAGTCGGGATCTAGAGAGAGAGAGAGAGAGAGAGAAGAGAGAGAGAGAGAGAGAGAGAGAGAGAGGAGGAGGAAAGAGGGTGTTTGGAAATAGGAGAAATGGGGATCAGCGTAGGGATTGGGGAGGGGTTTGTTTGAGTTTTGTCGGGGCTGGAAAATGTGGAAATGGCTTTGCCTTTGATTGGCTGGTTTCAGAAACGTCGTCGTTCACTTGAAAAACGACGTATCAACGTGCAAGGACGGTGGTTTTGAATTTGATTTGATGCTTGTGGCCTGTGGGATGGAAGTTTTGTGGGACAAAAATAGAAAAAAAAAAAAAAAAAAAAATTATTACTTTCCCCTATCAACCTAACTAGTAATCTGATTTGGCCCCAATATTTGATGTTACAAAAAGACAAAACACATTGATAGAAAGTAAATAATATGTTTCGTTATGGAATTAATACAGCTAGTTAAGCCTTCTTGCAGCTAAGGAAGTGAATAATGCTTGTTGTAGATTATATAATGTGCATATATTTACATCGGATACCTCATTTATCACCGGACAAAAAAAAAAAAAAAAAAAAAAAAGAAAAAAAGAAAAAAGGTATTTATGGTGGAGAAGATTTTTTTAATTTACCATTAACCAGATAGGAGAGAACTTAATGAAAATAAAACTCCACTCGCTTCTTTTTATTATTCTCATCAACTTCGTTGGCGAATTAGATCTTTTTTTTTTTTTAAACTGCAGGGAAACCGACTTTCCAAACTTAGGCGACGATAAGTTTTGATAGGGAGTATTAGGTAGGTCTGTATCGCACGTAAATTTTTAATACATAATTAACTATTAAAAAACTAATTAAGTAGTTAAAAACAATTTAACGGTTAAAAACAACAATTCTTATTAGTAAAGTAAAAATGCACGCTCTACCATAAAGATTCCAAAAAATTACGCCCTGTGTTGATATGGAGTAGGAGCAAATCACATGTCATGTAACCGTCACGACAACTACAATGCGTTGATCTACTAAATTCTGGCAAAGAAAGATGGTAGGTAATGGACAATAAATCAATGGCATAGTGAATAACTAATGTGACGTTTAGTAAGAAGATTCGTACCCTGATTCAAATCATAGTTCATAATTCGTTACAGTATTTTTTCTTATAAAAAATACACGTAAATCAAAAATAGTTCTAATCTCATGATTCTAATCCATGAACCAAACTTCTCCTAAGAATTGAGATCAAATTCTGATTAATTTTTGCCGTTTTGGAAGACCATTCACTTAATTTACAAGGTAATTAGTCACCTATTGGATTAGCGACATTTTGCCACTTGAAACTAGTTCAAATGGTTGTGTGCTAGTGTGTACGTATGTCTATCACGGTTTGAATCCTAATAGTTTCATTTCTTATTAGTTTGGCAAAAGTATGTACTAAAAAGTCGCGCAGTACACAGTGGCAGTGCCTTGGCCCTTGGTAGATGATTGATGATCATGAACAAACAAAACAATCAAATTAATAATAGTAATAGTCATGTAATTTGACTTTAAACATACGTCACATAAATATAACATGTTTTTCCCCCCATTTAGTGGGCAGAAAGGAAACGGATTTAGCAGCAACATTGTGGCTAGTAAAGCTTCTATATACTTGCGTCTTGGAATGGAATCAACATACAGTCAGATTCAAGATTGTCAAAATGTAGTAAGTTTATTAGTAGACATTCAGAATCAATGCTCTAATAGAGCACTTCCTTACAAGCTAGAAAAGAAGAAAACATAATCTGAAGCCAACGGTGACTCTGCTTTATAAGTTGGTCCAATAAATTTTTTTCCGCAAATCGGAGAAATACATAAACACAACAGGTTTGCAGAGTTTTATTCAAATATGCTTTCAGATTGTAAAATTTGGGAGAAGTATTAGATATCAAGTCTACCAAAAAAATTGTCCATCTTTATGGAATTTTCCAAAATTAAGTCCAACCACCCCCACCAGTCTCAACATTTTATCAATGGATGAACTTCACTGTTTCCAAATATCAATTGGCTAAAATCGCGATGCTTCTTAAATTGATGGGAGAAATATCTACTACAAGATCAAAGGTATATCAAGTTGCGGAAATGGGATCGAAGAAGTTACCATTATCAAGGCTTCAGTGCAAGTGCGAGACCTAGCTTTGGGGCTGCATTAACAGCCTTAGAGTCGTACTGGGCGGAAAAGGTAAACAATGACTTTGGTCTCCATTCGTGTTGGCATAGCATGGCAGCTTTTCCATCATCCGAGAATCGTGTTTTTATGACGGTGAATGGATCAACTGCATGAGAGCTTCCAATTGTGAAGGTGTTCTGATAGCTAGAAAACCTATGGATGAGTTCAGCAGCAACTGTAGTTCCATTCTTTGTATCAACATAATGAATGTAAGACGCCTTCAGTGCCTGTCCTTTATCGGTCCTGCACAAGCAAAGACGAGTTTTGATGAAAAATGAGAAATTGAAACAGTGGCAAGAATCCTAAGTCATACGAAGCATTGCACCAAGTCTCAGAATATTTGTTGGCAAAAAAATCTATTTCTCAAGTCCAATGTAGCATGTGCTAGCATTCCCCAACTACTAATGCCACTTTCACATAGCGCAGAGGTTTTGGATTGAACCCACAACAAAGATATCTCAAACCACAACTCAAATTCAACCTTTTGCTACAGTATCTTCTCTCACATAAACACTTTTCAACTCAAGTTCTCTAACTCAAAAAGAACGGGCCCATGTGATTCATCAAAATACACACTAAGGAGGCGGAACAAACCAAGAGACTAACAGCTAACAAGAAAAACATTTGCTCAGCCTCTCCACGCCCAGAAAATCTATACTGGCCTTCAAAGGCGACAATCACTTCTTGTGATTGCCACCTTACCAGCTTTGTCTTGTAGTAAAGTGTAGGTCACCAGTAAAACTCATTTTCTAGTAGAAGTCAAGTTTTCAAAACGTGCTGTAAATTCACTATTAATACATAGAAACACACATGAACATAGAGAAGAGAACTAATTGCTTTGTTCAAAGTAAAGGCTGATTGGCACTTACAGTAAAAGAGCGGCGGAAAAATCAGGCTTGTTCAAGCTGATACCCGCATTGTACTTGATGAATGAAGCAGAAGCAGTATCAAATCCAACTTCACCACCCAAACTCAGCTCCTTTGATCCAATGGTAGCTGATAGCTCCAAAAGGGGATTCGGGTTCAGACCAATACTGGAATCAAAGGCCGCTTGAGGATGAAGGTACAACACGTCTAGCTGCAGTTGCATGCAGAAATAAAGTCAAATGGCTTTATCATTATCAGCATATGCCCGAATTGATATTAATCCTTGGCCATACCCTCTAAAATAATCTATCTGAAAATAAACAGCATTGCTAGGTTCTTTTTTTTTTGTATTTTTTCAAAGAGAATATTGTGCAAAGCACTTCTTGTAGTCATCGTAAATTTGTAATATTAGTACTAACGCAGTTCTACTTGATTTTATCTACACCTCTTCAAAGGCACGCAACCCTTTTAAAAGTTCCTGAAATGGGAGGAAATACTTAACGCAACGCATCTCAAGTCATTTGCAATATGAAATAAACATGTACATATAAGGTCAAAGGTTTGACTTCTGATATGGGATTTGAAGAGCACAAAACTGATAGCATTTACAGAGAAGAACTCTATCATTTTTATCTACAGCTGCATATTAATAACTAAAAATTTTTAGAACAATGTTATATAGCTATATTCAGCTCTCGAAGACGTTTCCACGGTTAATAAATATCAGGAGCTTAAGCCAAAAAAAATTGCAAAAAAATATCATAGGAAGCACACTAACAATGATTTCCGCTAAAACAATAATAAGAAGCACGCACCTTGCCAGATTTGTTATCAGGTATTTTGAAGCTAAGTGCTGCTTTGGTACTTGGCAAGACATCGCTCACAGTAACTTTTGTGGTTACCTGCAAAAGAATTGAGATTGAGAAAACTAACTATAGACAATGACCAAACATCTTCATAAGCAAGACTCTGCATCATACAGCCAAAAGACACGGAAAAGAAATTCAGTTTATTCAAATATAGGACTTGTCATTCGTACATTAGAATAGGTATCAACTTTCACATCTACAATAGTATTTCCACTCTTGTAGATGGTATTTAGGTCACCAATGAAAATTTGATCTCTCTTTAATCCGGTAGCTGTAAGTCCCTGCAAAGTGACATTCAAGATTAAAAACTTCATCAGACATCATAACCCACGAAAAAATTTGAATACAAAGGCTAATTTAGTGTCTTGTGGATCCTATCTATGAGGTAGTTAGACACGCCCCTTGGGGGATCTGTTGGGTCTTTTAAAAGGACCCAATCAAAGAGCACAAACAAATGAAGGGAAAGCCTGCTGCCAGATAAAAAGGATTTTGGTTATAGTTTTCTTTGCAATCGTCGGGGGTGGCGGCAGGAGGGGAGAGAGAGAGAGTCGATTTTGTTTAATGTATTTTTAAGCTAGTTTCTTTTTCTATCATTATTGTAGAAAACAAACATTTTGCAGAGCCAAAAAAAATTACAACTAAAAGTCCAAAAAGAAGGCGAAAATCCAACTAAAATCCACAATGTGGCATCCCCAGAATCATTGTGAGGAGAAGCCCAGAAAGAAGGCCAAAATTGTTTTCTGGTTGACTCAATTTCTATTCTCATTTGTCACTTTAATCCATGCTTAATATCCAACAAATTTATTCTTCCGTGTTATCTATTTATTTATTTATTTCTGAAACTTATTCCAAATCATTAATCTACACAAAGTCCAAAACCAAAAGAGGTCATCCTTATACAGCATACATGACAAGGTTTAAATCTTGTGCAAGCAAGTTATAATTCTGAGAACAAAAGTCTAAAAAGCAAAATCAGATGGTGGCATCAGGTTATACCAGCCCTGTAGCCCCAACCACTGAGAGAGAGAATTTCTGATCAAAGTTGTAATCCTTCGTCAATAGGTCTGCACACAGTTAAAAAGTAAGGAACTGAATTGGAAGTAAATAACACTGAAATATCAACATCAGGCACTACAAAAGCGATGCTACAAGTAATTTTTTTAGTAAAATGCATGAAGATCAGATAAATCCCAACTTTTTTGACCAGCCACAAACCCAAATGCCAAATTATTTTTGCCTTTGCTGAATAACTTCTCCATTTTCGGCTTTATAGAGCCATGTTATAGGTTCATTCTCCCAAAACTTTTAAAAGCAGCTTAGCTAATGAACAATCTACATAAACACCATAATTTCAGAAATACGCATGTGATTCCTATGTAAAAATCGAAGAACTTGAAAGAAAGCATAACTTAAACGAATTAGCATGAAGGAAAATGCCGCGGGAAAATTTGATAAGGATGCAGAAGGATACTACACAGCAAGAAAAAAACTTGTAGGTACATTAACTTGAAACAAATCGTATAAGCAGGATTACCTTTTGCTTTTTTCCCAATATCCAAAAATGGTGCTGGGCTGCTTCCCATATTTAATCAAAAATGAAAACCAGACTGCACCCTGAAGCCAAAGTTTTGGTATTATAAGTTGAAAAGTATACACAAATAAATAAATAAATGAAAGCAATTTTCACCAATATCAACCAAAAATCACGATAGCAATTTTCAACAATCAAACTGAGTCCAAAAACATCAATCAGTTATCAATAAATTCCACAATAAAATCGATTACAGAAACTAATTGCTATTCCACAAATCAAAATTTCAAACATAAAACATCAATAATCCATATACCCAAAAATGACGAACAAAATTGAAGCTCTTTTTCATTCTTACGATAGTCAACAACTTAACGAAAATCTCCTTCTACTTGTCCTCAACATTTGCAAGCAAATTATAAAAACCACATAACACAAATAACGATTATTAATACCCAGAGAGCTAAGATTTCCATTCTAAAGAAACCCACAGAGAGAATCGTAAAATCTATCAAAACCCATTACAGAATGGAAGAAATAAAGGGAAATGAACGATCGCATTATAAGATTTTCATTCCAAAAATATAACAAAAATTACAAACAGAAAACCAACCGTGGAGGAGCTTGGGGGATCGATGGGGAAGAAGGGCTGACGCGACGGCGCTCGCACACTCCGGCTGGGGATGCGGGCCGGGAAGCGGACACTGATGAGCTCTACCTGAGCTCTAGGGTTCTTTTCAAAATGCACTTAAACCAAGGGCTCAGAATATGTTACCTTTTTTTTTTTTTTTGCTGTAATATGTTTTTTTAAAAATGAAATATGTTACGTTGTTACTACCTAATTAATAGAATTTTGTTTCAAAAGAAGTACCTTCACGTTTCAAAAGACGTCATGATATCACGTGATTTTGGCATTGTTCATTTCACCGATTTGAGTTTTTAATTTTAAGTTTTTACAGTTAAAAGCTCTCATAAAATATCACATCTAACTTTTTTTACTACAGTAAAAAATTCTCAAAAAATATCACATCTCAACTCGAATTCGCGAAATGAACGAGATTTTTATAATGCACTAATTTTGTAACTTGCTCTATATACGATGTGTTAGACATACTTGAAGAGTAGTGATGTCACGTCTCTAAATAGGAGTTACTAACGTGAAGATTTATTTAGAAATTAAATAAGATTAAAAAAGTAATTAAACATTTAATACGTTAAAATCACTTTTAAAAATAATTTATTTAAGAATATTTTAAATAAACTCCACTATTTTAAGAAAATTAATGGGCGCGTTTGGAACTCATTTTAAACTAATTTTATTTTATGTATGAAAATGTTTTTAATCTCAGACAGAAATTATTTTTGAAAATACGTTTAGTAATTTTATCAAAAGATTCTTTTCATTATAAAAAAAAAAAACTTATTAATGTCTATCTCTCTGCTCGAGAGAGGTAGAAAACGAAAACAAAAAATAAAAAATGATTAAAGGCCTATTCAGTTCGTTGTTTCGAGTTTTTAATTCAAGTTGAGATGTGACTTTTTGTGAGAGCTTTTTACTGTAACAAAAAAGTTAGATGTGACTGTTTCTGAGAGCTTTTTACTGTAGTAAAACTCGAATCGGTGAAATGAACGGGAAAGTCATTTTTTATCTCTCTCTCATTTTACACTAAACTAAAAAAGTTTTCATTTCCCTTTTTTATTTTTATTGTGTCAAACGCCGTTTTGAAAACATTTTCATTTTTTCTTTCTCAAAAAACGTGAAAAATAAAAACGGGATCAATTCTAAACACGACCAATAAGTTTTAGAAAGAGTGAGGTGAGTTTCACAAAAACCACAATAAAACAAATCCCAAATTTAAGCTTCTAGCATTATATCAGGTTTCTCCCACAGGATGTTCATATTGTAGCATACATAAGCAAAACAAGTAACATCAACCACAGTCTAGAAAAATTTAAGGTTACAAACCATAATTTATACATGCCTTTGTAATAAGCGGAAAGGAATGAAGTAAATTACAACTTCTTCTCTTTTAAAGATCGTGTTAGCATCACCAGTAGTCACTATCTACTCGGTACTACTTTTAGCGTCGCCTGGGAGGGGTTTAAAACATTGAAAACAGAGAAAAAGTTAGCGATATGCCCAATAGGATATAATTTCATAAAACTTTATACATTGAAAGAGAACACGATCCAAACATATCATTTGGAACCAAAACATCCTTTAAATAAAGGAAATAATCATAAATCTCAAGTTCCATGTTCAGGTAAGTAATTTATAAGATTATGTTGAATCACTTGCCTTATCGTAAAGCCATGATATCACCACCGAAGTGTCTCGTGCAGGTTTCGGGATCTGCCCCTAAAAATATGATCTCCATACTCGATCTCTAGGCCATCATGTGTTTTACTACTTCTTAAAATATCTCATTTTAGGAAAATGTTACTTTAACTTCTTCTTTAAATCTGAATAATGTCAAATATGATTTGTCTTTAAAACATTTTCATAGGCCAAATACATTTTAAACAAGGCTGTCAAGGATATGAACAAAAATATCCTACATCTTGGATATTTTAGTTTACGGATAACTTCACGTTGCCCAACCATTTATTCTTGAAGCAAAATAATGGTTTAGAGTTTAAACCTCATATCTAAACAATCTAGCTTAATTATGTACAATTGTATTATACTAGCGTGCATTGACTCAAAATCGAAGTTTATAAACAATTTCATAACTTAAATTGTGATTCTTTGAGAATTTGAAACTCAAACAAGAAAATAGAATGGAACAAGGATTAATGTGGCTAATCTACTCACTTTGAGTTATCAAATGAAGTTAATTTGGTTCTCCATTAAAATTTAGATTCAAAACAAGCGTTTAGAGCATTTTTTTTTGGGACAAAGGAAGTGCAAACCGGTCGACAGGTGGCAGTGGAGCGTAACTCCACCGGTCGGCCGGTGGAGTGGAGACCAGTTGACTGCTCCAGTTGATCGGTGGGAGCCTTGCAAATCGGGAAAAATGGCCGGTCCGCGAAGAAAAATGCCAAAACTTGCATTTTTGGGTTCAATTTCGAGATATTCTTATGGAATATTATCAAAACCAGGTTCCAATCATCGAATCAAGTTCAAGGAATCAAAATCCCCAAATTCCATCATGATTTCAATCATATTTCATTCAAAATCAAACTTAAACCAAAAATAAGCTTCATCAAAGAAAAATTCAAGAGTAGATCTCCAGAAATCTTACCCAAACCCTTCCTTTGATAATGAAAGCTTCTTGGAAATCCCCTTTTTACTTCAAATCTTGGATCAAAGCTCCCCTTGAGAGAGTGAAAATATCAGAGAAAGAGAGAGAAGGAGAGAGGCGAGTGAGGGAAAGAAAAGGAAAAGGAAAAAGGAAAAGACAAAAGAGAGAAAAATAAAGGTAACATTAAAAGATATTTTGAAGAATAGGTAAGAGTATGTGTTTCCACGTATTCTTGGGGTGGAATTGTAAATACTGAAAATAATTAAAGTTTCTTAAAAATATTTAAAACTTAGAGATGAGAAAATATTTAATAAACATGATTAATTAAGAAAATCAAACTAGGTACACTAATAAATTACAATTAACATAATTAAACTTGTTTAATTCTTCAGGTTGTTACAAGTGATAAATTTATTTATACAACCCTTAAGGTTTTTTATATTTATCTTAAAAAGAAATATGTTTAAAGATAGCAATTAATAAAAAAAATATTAAGTAGGGATATATTAAAAAAAAACAATTTTAAGTAACTAAAAATAAATAGGATCACATGCAAAAAAGTTATTCTCATAAGAGTAAAGTAAAGAACAATTTATTTTTAAAAACAAACACACAAAAATTAAAATGTGAAAAAAATTTAAAATAAAAATAAAAAAAGAAGTGGAGGGGCTGCCACAAAGCAGTTTCATAAAAAAGAGTTTTGGCCTTTTATGTATTGTTATATATATATATATATTAGATGTATAGAGAAAAAAAAAGACAATAGACAAAAAAAAGAAAAAGAAAAAAAAGTCAAAAAATGGAAAAAGAAAAAAAGAAAGAAATTCCAAAAAAAAAAAAAAAAGAGAGAGGAGGCCAACATGTAACCTCTATAGCGGCCAACACATGGTCTCCTTAAAAATCAAGTATTTTTCTCTTTTAAGTATGCGTGTATAGATAGAATGTTGAGATTACCATTTTTTATAATCAACAAAAACTATAATTTTAAAAATTTAACTATTGTTTTCCTTTCTATTTGAAGAACTCAAGAGAAAAGCAATGGAGGAAAATAAAATATGTATTTGGAGTTATTTAGAGGTTAAATAGTTCCTTTCAATGAATTTTATTTGTCATTCTAACGTTTTTATTTTAAGATAGAAATTTAGGAAATGTCTTACGTCTGGTGGGTTACATTTTGCCGGTTCCGTCGAGCAGTCGATGATGACCGTTGGATCATAATTGGACGGTTTGATTTTGTAAAGAGCATCTACGATATGTTCAAGCACTGCAGGCATATAAGTTTGAGTAAAATCAGGTATAGATTATAGGGTTAATGATGAAAGCGTAATAAAGCAGCGATCAGGAGACAAGTGATAAATTTTGAAAACCTATAAAACGGCGTGAATAACATCCGTCTTTTTGGTTGTTGTTGATTTATTATATTATAAATTAGGTCATTTGAGAGTAATTGAGGAAAAAAACACTGCAAACTTGTCTCAAGCATTGTCATATTATGATTTGGGCGGCGCTACTTAATTTCACTCGCAACATGGAACCACTGGTACTTCATTTCAAACACCTACAACGCTTGCACAAGACTTTTGAAACTTAATTCATAATTAATCACCAACAATGTTCGAACCGGTAACTTCTAACTAATTTTCTGGTATATTATTCTTACGTAACCTTTTTGTTTAAGAACTTGTGTCTGAAGGTTTATGTGTAAACTATATATTTACGTGACCGACTGTGTAATATTGGGGATTTCTTCTCAGACTCTCACCCTTTTATGTCAAACATCTAGTTCTCACATCTCTTAGATGTTATAAATCGGTGAAATGAATGAGACCTATATCTCTGCATGACTTTTTTCCCCTCCCATCCTCGTAGAAGAATTTTTGATTATTTCTGTGTAGTAAAGCACTCCTGTCGCTATTGCTGTTTAACTCAAATATGCTTGTTTGTAGGGATCCATGCAATTTACCGGTTTTACATTCATGTACATTTTGTTACGGCATAACATATCTAAAACGAAACATACTTACCCAAAATATTACATTGTCAGCCATTCTTCCGTTGAAAGTGATTCATTATTAATTTTCAGCAATGTTACAAGCTTATACATCATCTATCCTACACATTCTTTACTAAACTATCACACTAAATGTCAAAAAAAATTACAGAAATTTATACCATGAGATCTTTTGAACTTAGATCACTTGCTAACATAATTGGGTATTCTTGTCATTTCATATTTAAATTAGGAGTTAAGGGATTATCTTTGTTATTTCGACAATACACAAAGAATATAGGTGTAAAACACCCTCAAATGAGAAATAAAAAAATCCATAAAATTAAAGAAAATTCATAATTGTAAAACACGCAAGACGCATAAAACACGTAAAAAGAGCTTTTGAACCATTATTTCGAATAACTCTCGTCATTTTTTTTTAGTATTCGTCTTATTCATCACTATTTTCTTCTTTTTGGGGGTGGGCGTTTGCCCCACTTTTTTTTTTTCCTTTTTTTTTACTTTTATTTTTTTAGTTTTTTTAGTTTTCTTTTC